GGGGGGGGGGGGAAGGGTACTCCTGTAAGTGCATGCCGTAGTTGTTGGACTATTGGCTTCGCCAGGACGGAGCGATAGGGGGGGCGGGGGCGGGGAACGCATGCCGTAGCTGTTGGATCATTTACCTAGCATCCCTACAACGGAGGGGAGCGTACTCACGTAAACGCATGCCCTACGTAGTTGTTGGACCCTTGATTACAACGGAGTGATACGGAGGGTTCTCATGTAAACGCATGCCGTAGTTGTGAAGACCGTTGATAACAACGGGGCCATGGAGACGCGGGGGGGTTCTCATGTTTAATAGACCATGGACCTCGCATCCCTACAACGGAGCGATTGGGAGGGGGTGCTGATGTAAATTAAATGCATGTCGCCGTTAATAGACTACAACCCAACCTCGCATTTCGAAGGAGCGATAGGGAGGGGGGGCACGCATGTAAACGAAGCCGTCGTTGTTAGACCTACAACGGGCAATATGCCGGGTTTTCGCGGGCACTGGGTACGTTTTACAAGGATAATCCAGAAGCGGTCATCCCTGCGTTTGCTGTACCAAACCAGATCGCACGCCGTGGCTTGATTGGGCATCATGGCCAACGCCGCGGGGTACTCGCTTAGTGATTGCTGTGGAACTGAAAGCGTGCCTGAGCCGCCGAAACACAAACACCTTTTCGATGCGGAGCATCGCTTGTGCTCGTAGAAGGAGGTACAGCGGTCATTTGTCTCTGCAAGGCTTAGGGACGCTAGTGAAGGTTTTGCCACACTGATTGCTGCTGCGTGAAAAAACGGTTCCCGTCGGAGTGAATGCAAACAGCCGTCTCACATAGTTCTCAAACTGACGCGGCTTGTGTCTACTGGGTCCTCTCTCTCTCTCTCTCTCTCTCTCTCTCTCTCTCTCTCCCATACACACACGAACTCTTTCTAGCTTTGTGCCCTCCCCGCTGCATGCCCTCCCCCCCACCCCTCTTTTCTCTTCATTTCTCTCCTCTCGCTGTCTCTTCCCCGCTTCTTCTCCTCCCCCCTTACCGGACCAAGCGTCGCCTCGTGTGCTTGCAACACCTTCTTGGCGATATCTAACGCTTCCTCATATTCGTCCTGCTTCTGGCAGATGTCCTGTAGTGTGTAGCGTAGCGGAAGCGATGGAGCACAGGCGGCACAGGCGGCATGAGAGATATGGTCAAAGCAGACGAAATCAGATAAGCACCCCTGGCACAGAACAGGGGGGGGGGGGGGGGGGGGCCCAAGCCGTCCGCCTACTCGGCTGCTGCGGCCACGGCGGGGGAGGNGGGGGGGGGGGGGGGGGCGGGGAGGTCCCAACATTCGTAGTTGGCCAATCCAAAGACGAGTACGTGAAGAACAAAAAATATGGGTAAGAAGGGAGTGGGAGGGAGGGAGGGGGGAGACTGCCAGACATACAGAGAAGACAAAAAGACAGACGCACAGGCAGGGACCGAGAGAACGATAGATAAGACATAGACATGAGTATTGCGAGCTATGGTTAACGAGCGGGACGAGAGAAGAGAAAAGATGCAACACGAAGGCATGAAAGGGAGGGCGTCGTACCTACAAGCAACACATTGAGGGCCACATAACGTCACAACGTGCCCCGACAGAGGGAGGGAGGGAGCACAACCAGCACAAACCAAACGCCGATTTGCTTGAGAGGCCTAGCCAGCCCCTCCTAACCCCCCGGACAAAAGAGAGCCATGGCAAAAACCCAAACGCTATCCCGCGCAGAAGCAAAAGCAAAAAACAGCCGAAAAACAACAATTTACATGCGCCACAGAGGTTTGGACGCCAAGAGGCAGTATTTCGTGGGCTTACCCCTATCCAAGCGAGAGCGGAGACAGTGTCCGGATGGCCTTCCTCCAAAATCTTCTCCCGTATGGTCAAGCCCTTCTTCAGGTAGATCAGGGCGTCGGTGTACTGCCCCTTCTCTTCCAACACGCGGCCGAGCTTTACCATCGCCGTAGCCACCTGGAGAAGGCAAACAAGCCGTGCGTTATGATTTTCAAACCACAAGATGAGGAGCAAAAGCATCTAAATAGCGAGAAAACACTGGAGAGTGTGACCCATAAATCCGAACTGGGACGAGAAAAAAACACTGCACTGCTGCTGTTGTGTGCGGGTACTTTAACATCGACGGAGCTAACTATTTAACTGGTTGACCAACGAAAATACGCGACCCCCAGCGCACGGACAAACGCGACCATTATGTCTCTTCTGCCCCATGGGAGGAGTTCGTTGTGCCCACCCCCATTCCCTTTACCCCGCTTGTCTCCCAAGTCCTCATATTCTGCCCGTCTTCTTCCCTCGAAAGGCTCGGCGTTCTCCGTCGTCACTCGGACCAACGCCGCCCCACCCCACCCCACCCGACAATCACCCCACGTCCCCCCCTCCCTCGCGCCTCTGATCCAGTCGGCCTCGACACCGCACCACTCTTGGCCGTCTACACCACCGTACCCCGTCATTCACTGGTCCCGGCCGCGTGCCCCCCCCCCCCCCCCCCCCCCCCCCCCCCCCCCCCCCCCCC